ATATATATATATATATATATATATATATATATATATATATATATATATATATATATATATATATATATATATATTTGTGCTGAAGCATATATATTATATTTTAAATATTTTATTTTGGTTTGTCATTATAATTATGAAAATAATTATTTTGAAAAAAACTATTTAAACTATATTTGTATACTTGTTTAAAAAATGATATTGGTATCTTATTTTGGTTTAAAATTAATTTTATATTAATTTTTGATGTCAAATAAAATACATTTTGAACCCTTAAGTGTAGAAGAATTTCACAAATCCTTCTCATATCATCTTTCAGCTAAGTGGAGATTTAAAGAATCAAATTATGCATTGATTGATTAATTAGTGGAACTAATTGATATTGTCATTTAGCTAATGACAAAATTTAATTTCCAATTTTTTTATTTATAAAACCACACCATTTGCCATTCAATAAGATGACTTGATTTTTGTTCGGCCATTCCATTTTTCAAGAGGAAAATTATAATTTTTGGTTCCATTAATATCATTTTGTGTATAGAAAATATTTATAATATTTTCTAAATATTAATAGAAATATTTTCTATAGAAATATACAAGATTATGATTATTCCAAATTTAAATATTTATATTTTATACTACTATAATTCTTACTAGAATAAGGATTGTAGTAGAATCCAAAGTTGTTCCTGTGTCATAGTCAGAGACCAGATGCTTGAACGGTTATGTTTGCACTTTCAACGCTCTTCCCACGACTTCTTCGTTTTTACCGATTCCGGAGAAAGGTATAAATTTATTACTTACTATAAGTTTTAGTACGTGATTCAGGGCAATATAATCATGTTAGGATATTAAATTTTTATACTCCGTTGCTCTCACACTCTCACGAAACATAGGAAGAAGAATGAAGAAAAATGGTGAAGAAATGGTGAAGTTTAGGAAGTTTATATAGTGGAGGGGAGAAGAAGAAGACATGGAAGCTGAGTTGCTGCTGCATAGGATTTCCAATTTGCGATTTTCATTCGGCGGAAGTGCGATTTTAGGCGATTCAGCACGTTACTTCCGTGATCGGGACTAATTTGGTCATAGTCGGGGTAAACATTTTGGTCCAACTTTCTCCGAATTGAATTTCGTTTGCACCGTTGCGATTGGACATTTAAACTCTATCCAAGGATATAATTTTTATATTTATTTGTAATACTTTTTCCGACATCATATTTTTGGGTGTTTGACTTTGACAGAGTCAAAATTGATTTAGTTGACCTTTATTCAAAAAGCTTCTCACTTTTAATTCATATCATTTATTTTCATAATTTATTTCAATAAATCATTTCAAAGTTCACATCATAAATATTTTCTTCATTTATTCTTGATTTGCGTGTGTACTCAGGTTCCCAATCAAGATCACACAATTAGTCAACATATTGGATTTATTTCAATGAGATTTATCCTAATTGTGATATTGAATATCAAAACATATTTCATATCGGCCAAAAGCCCTATAATAATTTATTTTAATCAAACAATATTTTTATTTGAATAATAATTCAATATAACTTTTAGGATATATTTTAGGGTGTTACACTAATAAATCAAAATTACAAACATAATAAATTTATGTCTTTTAGAAAAATAATTCAAATTCACACATCCATCCCTACCATCTCGCCCCATCTACCTCCAGGAATTTATCACTTCATTCTTTTTGTTTACCTGCGTGTAGCAAATAAAACATACTACACGCTTAGCGGTAAAGCTGAGTAAGGATATCTAATACATCAAACATCCATATAACATATGTACTTCTGTTTCATAAAACAGTTGATCCTAATTTGACTTTTAAGAGAAAAAAGGAATGTATATTTGTGATTGATTTTCCAATTTTGTCTTTGATGTGATAGATAAAAGTAAGATATCATGGATAGATTATTAGTGAAAAAGTATGATTTGATATGTAGGGTAACAAAGATTAAGGGTAAAAGTATTTTCTTGTAACACCCAAAAATATTTCTATCAGAATTAATTAATAATTAATTTATTATTGAGAAGGACCCAAAAATAAGAAATTTATAAAGTTTGTCAATAAATAATGAAAATTATAATGTTGTGTAGAGTGTGAATCTATGATCACAACTTTACAATTGGATTTTAATTCAGAGAAAGTAGACCAAATTAGTCCTAATCGGGGAAATTTTGCAGACGGTGCCTCCTAGCGCACTAGCCAATCATAGAACCACAGAAGAGTCAGCATCCTGTGTCTTCTTCTTCTTCACCTCACTATATAAGAACACCCTCTATACTCAAACCTTCAACATTCTTCTTCCTGAGTGTTCCTTGTTAAGAGAGAAGTATAGTGGTTGTGTCAATTTGGTGAGAAGTTGCCGGAGTTGGGAGTTATCGTCGCCAGAAGTTTCGCTGGAAAATTCTCAAAACCTCCATTTGAACTCGATGTAAGCCCTTAGATATATATATATCTAGCTAGTGATTAGAATGTTCGTATGGATCGTTTCTGCGTTCATAAACGGTCGTTTGGTTGAGTTTTGTGTTTGACAAGTTTGAAGAACCAAGAATCATAAACCTTAGAATTATTAATTAATTAGTTAATTCTGATAGGCCTATTTTCAAGGCGTTACAAAAAATTACTTCTACCCTTACTCTTTCTTACCCTAGATATCAAATCATACTTTTTTACTAATAACCTATCAATGACATCTTACTTTTACTCATCATATCAAGGACAAAATTGGAAAGTCAAACACAAATATATATATTTTTTTTCTCTTAAAAGTTAAATTAGGAACCGTTTTATGAAACGGAAGGAGTACATAAGTTATTAGCTGTGCAACACACAGGTTCTTAGCTAATAATAACATTAAAGTTAATAAGAAATAATAAGGGCTTGTTTGGAAATAGCGTCAGAGATTAACGTTAGCATTTTGAAAATGCTATCTATGAGCATCGTTTAGCGTTAGCATTTTCAAAGTAATTTACAGCGTTAAAATTTTATCCAAAACACTGACGCTAATCTCTAACTCTATTCCGAAATAAGGATTAAGTAAATATAGAAAGGAAAAGTTGTTGAATAATACGTATATTTATTTGATGGGATGGGATGACAACGTCAGTTCAGATTATTAATTGTGTCATGGCAGTATACGAAATAGGATTACATTATACATATATCCTTACTACAAGGATATGATTATTGCTTGACTTGCAGGCTGGCTGGCTGGCTAGGATGGAGTATTTTTAAATAATTTAATTAATATTTTAATTAAGGAGATACAAAAGCAGTAGTTGCAGATCGATAGGTTTGTCCAGCTTTCCAACCAGTAGGAATGACATTGGGGGCGATGAGGTACTTCCCAGAGGCGTCAATGAGTTTGAGAGTGATTGGTGCAACGAGGCCAGGGGCAGGGCAGTCGATCTTCCAGACAGCACCCCATGATCTCGTCATGCTTACCCAAGTGCTGCTGCTGTTCCCAGAACCGCCTTGTTTGAGTTGAACACCGCTAAGCTCTCCGTCTCCACTCACGTATTCGATCAATACAGCCAGGTAGTATGCGCTGGAACCACTGTCCACCCCAAATTTCAGCTCTACTCCCTTCGGATATGCGCATGCAACCCTGCACACGCATGCATGCATGCACGCACGCACTAATTAATATTTAATGCCTCCCAAAAAATCTCTTTTCTTTCTTTCTTCACCCATCCTAAAAAAATCTTTCTCATTTCTATTAAAATGTCAGTCATTACTTTAGCCTTACTAAATCTTAATCCAACTATTACATCATACATTTTCACTACTAATTTATCTATCACATCCTAATTTCATCCATCATATCTATCCAAAAATATATATTTTTCGAAAGTCAACACAAAAATACTATTCTGAGTTCTCCAGCATTTCGAGTAGTAGTAGCTACACTATATATATATATATATATATATATATATATATATATATATATATATATATATATATATATATT